ATTATCAAAGTAGATTTATTCTATTACCGTTGTGGCAATATTCAACTAAGGATCCTGTTACACTGCAGAAGATTAACATATTCAGTTCTGAAGATTAATTATTGTGTTCATCATTAATCACAGGTGTACAGGCATAGATAGGACTGTTCTTATATCTATTCTATTCTCTTGACACGCGGTTGCTTTTGATCACATTCCAATTTATTCTCCATGTGCTCTCTTACCCATTGAATTCGAGAGGGCTTCACAATCACAATCTGAATGTCACTGAAACCAATGCGATCTTTAATTACATATTTTAATAATAGAGCTTTTAAGTGGGAGCGCTTTAATAATTATTTTGTACCCTTTTTAAATGTAATATCTCAAATCTCATGACGCTGCTCAGTGAGATTAAAAAGAAACCAAGATTTAAACTAATAAAACTGATTAAAAAAATGAAGTTATGGTTAATAATGCTGCAATAGTAATAAGGTCTATTTAAGTGTTTCGAGTTCAGAATGGTACAGTTATGTCACCATCCATAAGCTACAGCTGATCCAAAACTGCCAATCACATTCTTACCCGCACCAAACTCCGCATGACCATCAGCCCAGTCCTTGACAGGCTCCCTGTCTCCCACCAGATCGACTGCGAGGTCTTCAAAAGCAGTTGAAATGCAACAGTTCTTTCTAAACATGCGCAGAAAGAACCTGTCAATCCTCTTATCTTCTGCTAACAAACCAAAGGGCAAAAGTTCCTTCTTCAACTGAACTAATCTTGTGATTTAGTGTTTTTAGTGGAAAGATACCACACGTTCAATGTTAGGACCATTCCCTACTCTCACCGGTTTACTGTTTCTGTTACAATTGGCCCAACAGTGGATCGATGATAGCCATACTCTTGCCTCGTAGTATTAATGGATTAAATCAGTGTAAAGAAATCCAATTGTCATCCCAGCAACTGCTGAGTCCAAGTCCATCAGAAAATCTCTTCATCCCAGGATCATGCCTGGCTTGTTCTTTACAATAGATTACTGGGCTTTATGTTATTGATGATTAAACTTTCTAGTCTGCCATTTGCCTAAGGTCGTTCATTATACAATACTCAAAAATAACTTTAAACATTAAGGATTAAAGATTACAGCGCATGACTATACCATGAATTTAAATGCCTTTTTTTAAAATCAGGAAATAAAATAAATGTTTTACCTCCAGCTGTCCCTTAAAGAGAATCGGATAGAACCTCGTTACCACAGTTTATAACAGATACATATTCTCAATTAACATTTCCTAACTTTTTTTGTAGATTAGAAGCTTGGCTTTTACATTCAAACTAACTATGCTTTGAATATAAAAATCAATAATGCGTATATAACACAGGTAAAGCTTAGGAATTGGCAGCTATCGTTCTTTTGTCGTTGCTGTTTAGTAAACATTTAAACTTCACTTGTTACACACCCAAATAGCAACTGATACAATATTGGTGAATTCACCCTTTTCAGATGTGCTACAGATGCAATTTTATTAGAAATCTTGAATATTATTTGGCAAACTTTATTCAGAGAAAAATAATAAGCTTGAATTGGTCACACATTACAAGGCTGTTTATGGGACACTGCAGTATGCAAATTATCTGCCACATTCACCCACAAAATACACAGTCACTACATTTTATAGTAAATCCTGGGAAGTGCTTTGAGGCATCTTCCTGATGCGAAAGGCACTACAGTACAGAATATTAAATGCAATGATTTTTAATATCGTAGACACCAATATCACCTATCATTATTTTCTCACTGCTCAGAAAGTCTTTGATACTTAAAGGGTCAAATTAAACACTGTTCTACGTAGAGGCAGATTTTCATCATGTACTAGATTGAAATAGTCACCGATAGATACTCTTACAAGTTCACAGTTTCAAACTAATATTACTCTGATCAGATAACTACCAATATGAAAATATTACAGACAATATTTTATCAGACTAAACAGTAGTTATAGTACACAGCAATTAATCTGCTGAATGTTGTCTAACCCACAATGTTTTTTCATCATCAGGTACATTTATTACCTAAATTTGCCGATAAAGAATACTTCTGATCCAATAGCACAAACTCTGGTATAATAAGCATCATTGTTGGATCTCTAATAAAAAGCTCATTTTAAAGTTTGGCGGCTAAAAACCTGAAAATGAATTTGAAAATACAATAGAAATTCACGTGTAACACAATAAAGATTACACACACTGCTTTACAATATATGCTGTGCACGGTTCCCAAAAGCAGGTTTAGAACAATGGTTCACGATGTATCCAAAACAAAATCTACATTAACTACTCAACTTCAGTACAACAACAACAAAATTACATTTGTAGAGCGCCTTTCATGTCGGGAGGATGTCCCAAGGCACTGAACAGTCAGATATCGGGGTACAGTAGCAAAGTCACTGCCATATACAATAGCTTCACAATGTTAACCAAGCAAAGCAGCACAATGATAGAATTTGCACTTACAACAATGCACATCTCTTCAAAAACCATTGCGAGTTCTCAGAATACGTCAGCACAACACTTAGATGTGGTTTAATCATTTGAGACTCTGTCCCCCCCCCATAATCGATAACCATAATCGATGGGAATCTACCTTTAAGTGGATAGAAAGTACATGAACCATATTTACATCTGACATTAGAGCAGGACCCAAAATCGATTAAAAGTTGATCAGACAATAAACACACTTGATGTTTCAAAGTTACGTCTCAGTCCAGTTTGCCCTGTTAAAGCTCAGAAGAGTCAAAAAGATCAACATCTAGTGTACTCCACATTGTTGGAACACAGATATAGAACGTAACATTGATCATATAAGTTTATCAGTATCACCAGTCATTTAGTGTGTAGAGAAGGAAAGGGCTTCAAGTCTGCAGCTGAGTTAAAATGTAAATCTCCCTCCATACCCATCCTTAGCTCTCCCCCACCCAGCTCAGGGTCCCAGTCAACTGTGCGAAGCAATTTGAAACGTCCTACTAATGTTAAAGGTGCTATATAAATGTGACTTGTGCCTAAATTCGCCCACAAAATAAACAGTCAGTTCACTTTACAGTATATCTTGTGAAGTGCTTTGAGTTGTCTTGAAGATGTGATAAGACGCAATATCACATTATTATTATTATTAGTTGTTGTTGGTGTTGTTATCAGCTATTTCAACAGTGTTCTTGCACAAAGAGCAAACCATGAACTGTGGTACTGTGATACACTGATCAGACATACTTCTCACTGGAATCCAAACATATAATGAACTTAAAGAGAGCATCAGCCTACTTCAATTGGTAGCATTCTCGTCTCTGAACTGTAAAATGGGCAGACACACGGCAGATGAGGTTTAATGTGGAGAAATGCGAAGTGATACATTTTGGGAGGCAGAATGAGGAGACGCAATATAAGCTGATGATAGAATCTTAAAGGGGGTGAAGAAATAGAGAGACCTGGGGGTTCATATACGTAAATCTTTGAAGGTGGCAGGACAGGTAGATAAAGCTGTTAAAAAAGCATATGGGATACTCGGCTTTATAAATAGGGCATAGAATACAAAAGTCAGGAAGTTATGATGAACCTTTATAAAACACTGGTTAGGCCTCAGCGAGAGACTGTGTTCAGCTCTGGGCACCACACTTTAGGAAGGATGTCAAGCTTTGGAGAGGGTGTAAAGGAGATTTACCAGTATGGTACCAGGAATGAGGGACTTCAGTTATGAGGAGAGGCGAGAGAAGCCGGGATTATTTTCCTTGGAGCAGAGAAGGTTAAGAGGAGACTTAATAGAAGTTTTCAAAATTATGAAAGGATTGGATAGGGTGAACAAGGAGAAACTATTTCCACTGGCGGGTGGGTCGGTAACCCAAGGACACCGATTTAAAATAGTTGTTAAAAGAAGCAGAGGGGAGGGGAGGAGTAATGTTTTCAAACAGCGAGTTGTTCGGATCTGGAATGCTTTGCTTGAAAGTCAGTTCAGTGGTGGAAGTCAGTTCGATACCAACTTTTAAGAGAGAAGCAGATAATTATTTGGGGAGGACACGTTTGCAGGGCTATGGGCAGAGCGCGAGGGAGTGGAATTGATTTGGATAGCTCTTTTCAAAAAGCCGGCATAGACACGAATGGCCTCCTTCTGTGCTGTATAATTCTATGATTCTATGTTGCTTTACTCTGGTTACTGTAATTTTACAAACTCCTTTGAAATATTGATTTTGAATATTGCTTAGAATATTCGTATTGGTTTGAAATTGAAAGCGATTTGAAATTAAAAAAAGAAAATTGGTTACTCAATCCACGACTGCTGTGCACAATTTGCTGTTGCGTTTTCGCCCACAAAATACACAGTCAATCCACTTTGCAATATATTCTATGAAGCGCTTTGAGATGTCTCGACGACGTGATAAGGCTCTATATCAAATGCAAGGATTATTATTATTATTTCCCCAAACATTCATCACTACACTGGATTATAGCTGCCCTTTTCCCGCTGCACAAACTGCATTGCAGGAATTATAGTCTCGTTTCTTAAACAAATACACCAATGGTTTTCAGAATGTTAGGTAGTGTGCATTTCATAAGCCAAAAAACCCTCCCCCCTACCCCAGGCAAAGAATAGAAGCCAATCTATTGTCTGTTACCAGAGGCCTGATTTGAAGTGGACTCGGAATGTGTCGTGCAAATGCAAAAAATGTAAATGCAAAAATGCAAATGCAAGGATAATTATCATCATTGTGAGAGTAATGAATAGATTTAATGTGGGCTCCTTGTCGTGTCAAAATAAAAAGGCTCTGCCATTTTCTGCACTTTCATCCTAGCTCCCAGCAGTGTAGTGGTGAGTGCTGTAAGCAAGAAGAAGCCATCTGCCTACCTCAATTCTGTGCAGCTCTTCTGTGGAATAACAGGACAAATTTAGATTAGTGACAACATATCGGGAATCGCCAAAAATGAAGCACTAATGCCAATGGTGCCAAGTATTCCTTAACCTTTCATCCCTAAGATGCAATTTTCCTTGAGTTCATTAATATACAGTCTCCTTGGTGATGCTGGAGGAATAATTATGATTGCTGGACAAGCTGTTGGACTTCTTGTTGAGAGGAGGAGCCTTAGACTTTTCCCGCCATCGAAAGCAGAAGTAGCTGAGGATGGAGAGGAAATTCTGCCTGAAGTTTGCAGACACCAGATTGTACAGGACGGGGTTGATTGTGGAGCTGACGTAGAAGAGGACATTTGTCACCATGTAGAAGTAATGATAGAAATTGTACAGATCTCTGGAAAAGGGAAATAAAAAATTATAGATTGCACAGGGGGCACCAAAAGAAGCAGCCAACATACATGTAACAAACATACAGGATGGTACTTTCTTTTGTAAGGCAATATTATCATAGAAACGTCAACCTTCTTGCCCAAGAATCTAGTCAAAACCCAACACCACTAGAATTCCACTACCCACTGCCTTTCAGACAGAGCTGATCCCCTTCTGTTATCTTCTGCGCTGTCTTTGTAAATCTTTGCATCTGGGTGCTGTAAAACAAATTTTCAAATCCGTTTACAAATTCACCCTTTAGCCATGGGGCTTTAAGGCCCCATTGATTGTGTGTGAGCCGAGAGAATTGGGTTAGTCACAGGCCATTTGACCTTGGAGGGCACTGCTATTCTCACGAGACACACACACATGCATTCAGCTTGAAATATACGTCATCCTGAATGTAGTTTCTCCTCCTGAGCCCAGGGGGTGTTGAGCTTCCCATAATGCTTTCTAGAAGCGCTTTGAGACATCTCAAAGATGTGATAAGGTGATATGTCAAATGCAAGGATTAGTATTATTATTATAATGTGGTTTTCTGCCTAATTGGATCCTGTAACAAATCTCTGAGTGCTGATCTCAACCATATGCAACGCAAGACTCGTTTGCATTTATTAATACTTACACTTGGTACAGCACCTTTCACGTCGGGAGGACATCCCAAAGTGCTTCAGACGATGAAATAATAATAATAATAATCCTTGCATTTGATATAAAGCGCTTTTCATGTCTTCTAGATGTCTCAAAGCGCTTCACAGAATATGCTGTAAAGTGAATTAACCGTATATTTGTGGGCGAAATTGTACTGTAAAGTCTAGTGACTGTTTTTTGTGGTGTTAATCTTGTGAAGTGGAGTCCTGTAGCTTAGTGGTTAGAGCACTCACTTCACAATTGAGAGGACCTGGGTTCGATTATAATAATAATAATAAGCCTTACATTTGATATAGCACCTTATCACATCTTTGAAACATTTCAAAGTGCTTCACAGGATATACAATAAAGTGGAATGACTGTATTTTGTGAGTGAAATGCAGCAGCCAATTCGATTCCTGACAGGGCGAAATGTTGGCCAAGTTTCCTTACACCACACCCCTCTGTTTACCTAGTAGGAACCTGGTTGTTAGTCGATTAGTGGATCGCTTTTCTGGAGGTAATAATTCCTTCAAAATAAATTTTTAAATAATTTAGTCACTCAATCCACGACTGCTTTGCGCAATTGGCTGCCTCGTTTTGCCCACACAAAAAATATACAGTCAATTCACAGTATAATCTGTGAAGCGCTTTGAGACATCTCAAGATGTGATAAGCGCTATATCAAAATGCAAGGATTAATCTTGAAGGGAAATCACATTTTTATAAAAAATGAATGTATCTAGTTTTTCCATATGAAGTAGAATATCTGTGAAGATGAGAAAATGTAGTTGAAACTGTAGAAATGTTTAGCATAACATTGGTGATCTATTCTAATTATTGTTCCTTATTGTATTGCACTCTCAAGAGTCTTCTGGAACATCAAACCATGACTTTGCATTAGAAGCTCATTGAGTCTGAATCTAGATTAATGATCGCTGAGTTCTAGGACTATTGTAATTCTCTGTGGTAGGAAGTGTGACCTAATGAGATTAGCATTTTAGTTGTAGCCACTAATGTATGACACACACAAAAAATCACTGGAGTTGAGTGTGTGAATCATATATCAGTAAATAACAAGAGTCATATATGTTGGGATCAATCTATCTCTTAAGAGAACATTGGGAGAGACTTCACAGACTTCTTCATTTATTGGAATATTTGTCAGGCAAGTATCTAATAATAACAATAATAATAATAATTCTTGCTTTTTATGTCTTCAAGATGTCTCAAAGCGCTTCACAGAATATACTGTAAAGTGAACTGACTGTATATTTGTGGGCGAAACGTGGCAGCCAATTGCACACAGTAGTGGATTGAGTGAGCAAGTTATTATTATTTTGTTTTGAAACATTATTATCTCCAGAAAAGTGATCCGCCAATCAACTAATAACCAGGTTCCTACTTACTGCTGGATAAACAGAGGTGTGCGGAGGAAGGAAACTTGCCCAACATTTTGCCCTGCTGGAAATAGAAACCAGGTCTCTTGTTTATGAGGCAAGTGCTCTAACCACTGGGCTACCGGACTCCAATGTCATTGATGAACACAAATGACTCAGTAAAATGTATTTCAGTAAAAATAATCCTTGCATTTGAAGTTATCGAGATGTCTCAAAGCACGTCACAGGATTTTATCCTAAAGCATTGCGAATGTGTATTTGTAGGAGAAAGCAGCAGGCAATTTCTACACAGCAACATCCCACTTTGCAATAAATTCTGTGAGGAGCTTTGGGACATCTGGAGACGAGGTAAGGCGCTATATCAAATGCAAGGATTATTATTATTGCTAAATGCATGGATTATTATATTATTATTGTGAATAATGGATTCCCACCTCCCCCAATAAGTAAGAGCAGCTCAACATTTTAGAGACTCCTTTGTTCTTGTCATTCTTCAGAACTGCACCATTCAGTTCCACTTCACTGCAACCACATCTGAAACATGATGCTATTCAACCCCTATTTAATTCCCCAGCTAACAGCAGCTTATCACGATCAGCCAATTGCTCAGAAAAGATTGGTCTTCATAACCAAGTGAGATTTAAATAATGGATTCATCTGGGGCGCGATCCATCATTGACAGAGTCAGATGTCAAACTCTGGCACAGACTGGAAAATTTAGGTTCATTCACTCACACTTGGCAGCAACTGAGCCGAGCAATAGATTGACGAATGTGTCTAATTATATGAGCAAGCACTCTAGGCAATCTGAACTCATCATTGAAGTTCACTGGGCCTTTTAGAGAGAAACAGTAGGATAGATGGCGCGATGAATTCCTGTTGGTATAACTTCATTTGTGTTCAAGGCATCATTCAACATTTATTTAGGACGTCAGTCTGGCTCAGTCGCCAGTGCTCTCAGCTCTAAGTCAGAAGATTGTGAGGACAAGCTCTATGTCAGGACTTAGAACTCACAACCTAGGCTGATATTCCACTAAAGTGCCGCTCTGGGGAAAGGGTGGGTGGAGGAATACAAGTTGTGATGCGATAATAATCACCAGTGATAACAGAAAATGTGCTTAAAACTCATCATTAAAACCTGTCCTTAATAATAATTCTTGTAGTTAGTATTGTGCCTTATATCTTTGAGACGTCTCAAAGTGCGTCTATACTGTATTAACTGTATAAGTAAATTGACTGTATATTTTGTGGGCGAAACATCCTTAATGGAAGAAGGGTTTTGTCTAAAGATGGTGAAAATTGTGTCCCAGAGTCATCTATTTTTTAGTGGGGTCACCATTATTCTCACTTGCCTCCCAGACACTGATATAAAATCTGGCCATTAATGGATATTGAAATGTCACTGGCACAGCCTATTCTCTGTCTTATTCAGTGTTAAAAATAATAATAATTTGGTCGTTCAATCCATGACTGTTTGTGGGACGCTGCTGTGCGCAATTGACTGCCGCGTTTCGCCCACAAATATACAGTCAATTCACTTTACAGTACATTCTCGACAATGTGATGAGGTATTATACCAAATACAAGGATTATTATTATTAAACATTGCTATCAAATTGCAAGGCCGGTAATTAAATAATAGTCACTCACTCTGTCCAGAGATGCTCGGGAACGTAGCAGAACATGAGCCGACGTGTGTGATAGGGAAGCCAGCAGACCACAAAGGCAATGACAACAGCTCCTGCGGGAAGAAACAAAAACCTTAACTCTTGCTGTTAATTTCTGCCTCTGCCCATGTAGCAAATCAAAATTTAGTTGTTATTAATTTTATTCCGTTATTTTGCTCAAGTCAACTTACTAAGTTTACTGTTCGGTATAAAAGCACAGTATGGCTTGAAATTTTACCTAATCTTAACTTGCAGGACCCTGGACCTTTTTGTTTTAAAATTTTAGACTGCGCAAATTTATGAAGATTTCATAACCTTAGTCTTAATCTAGAAGTCAGTTTTTTTCATATTCTTTTTAAGAACTGCAGAAAACTGTCTTCCAAGCCCTTAGGTTGGGTCTTTGAGCTCATGGTCATGCTGACATGACGTGCTAAAATTATTATTATTGGTAATAATTAATAATCAGTTTACTAATAGCTGAGGAGAGTGCTGCATTGTCTGCCTGTTTAGGTTGATATTAAAGATCCTGTGGCACCATTTGAAAAGAGAAGGGAGTTTCTCCTGGCCAATAATCCCTCAGCTAAAATGAGTTCAATCACTTCATGGCTGTTTGTGGGAGGTTGCTACGTGCAAATTGGCTGCTTACAAATACAGTTAGTTTGCCGTAAATTTGGTGATGCGCTTGAGATATTTTGATGATGCAATAAGGTGCTATATCGAATGCAAGGATTATTATTAGTAGTAGTAATTAGTAGTAGTTAGCTCCTGGTAGCTTTCTGACATGCCTGCCCCCATGTAAAGTCCTGAAATAAACAAGCTGGCAATTTGGTGTTCATTAGTTTTAAGAGATGTTTAGTGCCATTACCATCTGGCCACTCTGATCTCAATCTCTGTTGTTGAATGAAACATGAAGATTCCAATTTCTCCCGCACTAGTACACATAAGTGAATTACTGAAGCTCATTACCAAAGGTTAATATAGTTTAAATAGATACAATGCCTTTGTTTCCATGTTTTCACTGACACTGCATTGAGAAAGCAAAGGTTTTATATATCAACAAAAGTGCCACAAAAGTGTTCCAAACGCAATTTTTCTGTTATAATTGTAATTTTCGCTTGAGGTGCACGGCACAGTGAGATGTCAGAGTTCTGCAACCAGAATAAAAGTGGAGCTCGTATTTGCCAGGCGAAAGTCTCTCTCTCTCTACCTGCAACACTCTAAGATAAAATAAATTTAACCTTTTTACTCCCACATTGCTGTGAGACTTCAGAACTATTCAGAAATCAATACAAATTGGCAATCTTTCAGGCGAAGCCTTGGTGTAACTTCAGGCCTGGAGCGCTATGATTTTATGCTTCACTCTTATTTTCTTTTACAATTCTTCTTCTTGCTATCTCACACCTCTGCATTTCCGGTAAAGTTTGGGTGGAACAATCACAAACAACAAGAAATTACATTTGCACAGTGCCTTTCACATCGGGAGGAAGTCCCAAAGCACTGGATAGTCAGGGATTTGGACCAGAGCAGGGGTTTGGGATCAGTAGGGGTGAAGGGCAGGGAGGATAGGGATAGGAGGGTGACCGAAGGCGCGTTCAAAGTGGTATCGTCTTGGAGTATTTAAAAACATAGGCAAATCCCTGTTACGTTGAGCAAAGATCTGAAGCACTGTAACCCTTAATAATTGGAGCTTAAGAACCTTATGATAGAGAGTAAATAGCAAATTCTTACCCTCTTGAGCACAACAATCTGACTCCGTTTCAGATTTAAATTACCATCATATGTAGTTTCAATCAGGAAAAAGACATTCAGAGGCAAACTCAGACACTTCAAACCATTTTGACTTGCCTGAAGTGAAACCTCAATAGCAATCCACAGCGGATCTGTTTTCAGACACAGTCAAAGCGAATCCTCAGGTCTCAAAAACTTCAACTACGAATTCCACACTTCCCTTATTGCATTTACAGCTGATAAACCCCAAAACTACAGAAATAATAGGGCATCCCACGGCTGGAATAGAGCATTTGAAAACCTCCAATTTTAATTCACTTTGGACTTAGATCAAGTCAGTACGAGAAGAGGATGATTGTGTTATAACATGCTCCGCTTCTCATCACAAATAAACATGGCTAAAATAAGAACTACCAAAATCTGCATAGATCGTCCAAACAATGGTGCGTTGCCATCGAATTAAAAACAATGAGAATATATATACATATTTATGCATACCATACATAATGTTTTATTACTTCATTTCACAACTCATTTAAGTCTTGTGTCAAAGCTATCATATCCCTGTAGCATAGAATTGAGATTGATATAACAGCCCACGGATGACTAACACACCAATGGAAGGAATATCTCCTGCAGGCACCGGGGTAGTGAACAATTCTAATGGATCTGGCAGCTTGAAAGGTCCTCTGGTTTTGTCTTGCATTAATTTTTGTCCTTTCGTGATACTCTTTGTTTTTATTCAAAAAGTTCTTTCAAGATTGCTGTACATTAGAGTTAAAAGAGGGCATTTTCAGTCTTAATTTGAAGGATAGGATTGGAATCATCAGCTTGTACTCAAAGATAACATTCGGAAGCACTGAATGGGAAATGACTAGGACTTTCACTTGAACGCCACCTAATTTCTTAGGCTAATTGCAGTAAGCTCACCCTTAAAGCTTTGATTAGCGCAAAATACTGAACTTCGCATTGATTTGAGTGTTTCCCATTTGCTGACCTCGGACTAATTAACAGATTCCATCCACAATGGTTCAGACTTAAATTTACTCTTCAAAGTAAAGATCCTTGCTATACAGATACGCTCAACAGAAACATGCATCAATTAACAAAAAGCGCAAGAACACACGGAGAGGATGGAATATGCAGGTCTGAGTTAGCTGAGCAGAGGGGGCGATCTGAGGAATGGGGTAGGATAGATCATGGAATATAATAATAGTCCTAGCATATGATATAGTGCCTTATCACGTCATTGAGACATCTCAAAGTGCTTCACAGAACATATTGTAAAGTGGATTGATTGGGAATTAAACGTGGCAGCCAAGTGCACACAGCAGTGTCCCACAAACAGTCATCGATTGAGTGACCCCATTTTTTTTGAGGGATTATTACCCCAGGAAATCGATCTGCCAATCGATTAACAACCGGGTTCCAACCTATTGCTAGGTAAATAGAGGCGTGTGAAGTAAGGAAACTTGCTTAAAGGTTTCGCCCTGCCCGTGAAACAAACCCGAGTCCTCTTGCTTGTGCGGCGAGTGCTCTAACCACAAAGCTATAGGACTCCACAGTAATATTTCGAGCAATAAATAATTTTCTTCTTCTCCTCAGGCACACAGTTAAATAATTATTGTAGGGCTCTTAACGTTTATGGCTTTGCAATGCATATACTGAGTAATTTGTGAACAAATGCGATGCACAAGCTTTTTAGCCTGGATTTGTTAAAAGAGAAATCATTGGTGTTTTGGAGAGAGAAAGTGGCTAGAAATGTGAATTATGTTTCCTTAGAATTAATTTGTAAAGAGAGCGAAACAATTGCTCCAGCAAAATAGCCTCTTGTTATGAGTCTAAATCCATCTCAAGAGCAATGCAATTGTTTTTGATAACCTTCTGTAAATGATTAATAATAATAATTCTTATATTTTATATAATGCCTTTCATGTCGGGAGGACCCCTCAAAGGGCTATATTATTATTGTTGTTTACTTTGTTCTAAAAGCTAGAGCCTAGGATTCATACAAAGAAAAAGCACGAAACATTGCAATAGCAACAAGTACAAAACTCATACCGATCTCAACTCAGAATCCGTGTAATTTATAGGAAGATATTACAAGGGTTTAAGTGAATCATTTTTAAGCCTTGCCGGATTCAATTCCCTTGATCTTGAGATAGCCGTCAGGCAGCAGATTGATTTGAGGCTAATAACAGAATCAAATTGGTTGCATTAATATTCATGGAATAAATCCATCCTATTTTAAATTCTTCAGTGTTTTGACATACGGTTTATATGTACACTTGTTTCACGCTGGGACCAGCAGCCACACAATAAATATACAGTCGGACCATTTGTTTGTTAAGGCAATCTCCATTTGCCTGGCAAAATACAGGTTTATCTTTGTGTCGTTACTAATCGAAATTCGAACTTACCCTGCCAATGTGTGCTCAGCATTTACAATACAATACGGTACAGTTTACATTTATATAGTGCTTTTCATGTTGGGAGGACATCTCAAAGTGTACGGATTTACATCAAATGTTTGCAAAATATAAGATGCTTAAGTTGTAATACCATTTCAATATTTTGCTGGCAAGATATTTTTCATATTTGGAAGAGCGGTTCATAAGGAAGACAGACCTTTGGCACATTTAATCTTGTCCCTCCAGAATACCCCCCACACTGCCCTCCCATCACAACATTGAGTGTTTTTTAATAATAATAATAATAATAATAAGTCCAGTGTCGTGGCCTTAGCCACCCTTCCTGGTAACCTTGCACCAGTTGTTAATTACCCTTTGGGGGAAAAAATATCAAATTGTCTTTTGCAACTCTAATCCCATGTCCTCTTGTTCTGCTGTCTCAGGGCCTTCTAAAGTATTGTTCTGGGTTTACTTTCTCAAACCCATTTAACATCTTGTACACCTCTATCAAGTCCGCTTTGGGACGTGTACTGCCTGTGACCACCTTGCTTCATTCCTATTCTCATTATGAAGCCTAAAACAATGAGATAATCCCCCTCTGCAGCCAGCCATTTAGCCCCCAAACAACTATAACCCTCTCACCCCTTTCCATGACCTCCTGCAAGGTTATCAGGCAAGCACACTCAGCTATGAAAACACAAACCACAGCTTTCTGAGGTGTTATTGATTTCTCTTTTTATCTCTTTTATCAAAGAGTAGAACTCTGCTTGTCATCTGAATGAAATCCCTGCCCTGATGATTGCCTCTGGATTTAGATATAATACTGCTTTTCAATTTGATCCCAATGATAAACCTGCAATATTATTAGCAAAAGCATGTTACAGACAGGTGAATTGGAACACACACAGTCGCTGTTCCTCAGTATTTTTACACAACACGTTTTATAAAGCCATGTTTTGGCGTATTCCTTTTGTTCTCCGTGTTTTTCTATCAAAATTATCAAAATTATGTATCAAAATTTTTTACACTGTGAGCTATAGCCACCAATGTAATTCTTTCCAAAGAAATACAATACACACCTCAATGGATGTAAATTTGTTCTGTCTGAGTGGTCGAGCCGTCAGCCACAAAGTGCCTAAAGTCTGGAATTTCCCACTTCAAATGCTTCACCACATGCCTTCTCTATCCTTAAGTCCCACCTGAAAACTTACCTTTTTGACTGTGTCTATGTGTCACCTCCCCCTTCTTCCTTGCTGTACAGTACGGCGCTTTCCTATGTGAAGGGCGCTATATAAATGCAAGTTGTTTTTGTTGTCTCTACTGACCACGTAACTGATTGGTATATCAGCATCTTTGCTTCAGTGCCGACCGACACACACAAACCAAACACACACGCACACACACACTATCCATACAGTTGTTACATACTGAGAACTTTGACTCCGTGTTGGAGGGACTGGATGCGGCTTGGCTCCACAGAGATGCTGAGCATGGTTTGTTGTCCTCCGATGGTGCAGACTCGGCTGTCCTGAGCAGCTTGCTTGAACATCGCTATCAGTTGATTGGCGATGATTGTGTTCAAGACTGAAATTACAACCATCGGTAAAACGAAGGAGAGAAATGCATTCACCTGCAAGTACAGAGGAATGGAGATAAGTTACTACCAGCACAGGTAATAATAATCATTATTATTGTGGAATCATTAATCTGTGGAGTCCTGTAGCTCAGTGGTTAGAGCACTCGCTTTGCAAGCGAGAGACCTGAGTTCAATTCCAGGCAGGGCGAAACCTTGGGCAAGTTTCCTTACTCCACACGCCTAATAATAATCCCTCCAAAAAACCCCAAAACAATAATAAATTGGTCATTTTCAATCTACGACTGTTTGTGGGACATTGCTGTGCGCAATTGGCTGCCGCGTTCGCCCACAAATATACAGTCAATTCACTTTACAGTGTGTTTTGTGAAGCGCTTTGGGACGTCCTCCCGACGTGAAAAGCGCTATATCAAATGCAAGGATTATTATTATTATTATTATTAATAATCCTTGCGTTTCATATTGTACCTTATCACAATGTCCCAACGTCACAGCGACTCAAAGCGCTTGGCAGGATTTACTGCAAAGGGCAGTGACTGTGGACTAGAAGACATAGAAGCTAGGCAACAGGTTAATTCATAACAAATTGCCCTCAGGGATTTTTTTTGGTGCTATGTTTTGGCCGGGGATACAGCAACAACCTGTTTCAGTCGTTAATTACCCTCCGGGTAAAGAAAAAACATTCTGGTGTCTGCCCTAAAATTGCCCTTTGCAACTCTAATGCTACGTCCTCTTGTTCTACTGTCTTGGTGCATCGTAAAATAATAATAGTATTATTATTATTACTGTCTTGGTGCATCGTAAAGTATTGTTCGGGTTTTCCTTTTTGAATCCCACTTAAAATGTTAAGTATCTCTATAAGCTGATTTGTGTTCCACTCAGATGCTTAAAAATGAATCGCCCAAGAACCCTTAAGAGTTTTTTTTTAATGTTAATATAGAGCCGGGCATCTGTAATTATTGTTTTTGTGCTAGACAACCACGGAAAGGATTTTGTTTCTGCAGCACTAATAAAAGTCACCAAAAAAAAGCATTGCTGTAAGAATCTGAAGAAATAAAGCCACATGACCACAATGAACAGTTCTTCACATCCATGGCAACATCAGAATATGTAAAATATCTCATCAATCAATGATAGGGAATAGTATCCTTCTGATTTTTTCAGCAAGCAAACTCATTCTGTGAGCCAACTGGCACCTATTAAGTGAAGTATAGTAAAGAGGCAATTTAAATTGCTGTGTCCGCTCACAATGATACTATCCTTTCCCCCTTACGCCTTGGTGACTTTCATTGTAGACCCTTGAACCTTGTTCACAGATGTGATGGAACTGATGATAATACAGAATGTACAATTCACGCACTTAGTTTGAAACAGAAATATTCCCTCAATTCAGAGGCCAAATTATTGAACCTAAGCTTTGCAAAGTTACGGAACAGCATTTTCCTGGATTACATTTATGGTGATGTGAACGGAAGCAAATGTAAAAAAAAATCCAATTTCACTCAACATTGAACTTATGCGTTGAGAAATTCCTACCACATTTGTGAGGGCTACCAAAGTTTTACTGATGAGTATTTCCATTGGATACAATCTTGTGGGGTTTGAACTGCCCTGTCCTTTTGTGTGTATTCCTTTTTGATACAATACATAATTATTTTACTGTGGTGATTTATTATGCATGTTGCCCATCAAATTCAGGTCTTGATGAAATTTAGAAACTCAAAATAAATTACGGGCAGAGAGGAAGGAGAATAAGAGAGTCTGGCTCAGGCAGTCCTAAGGTTGTGAATTCGAGCCCCATGTTGAGTCCTTGAGATCCTAATCTAGGTTGACATTGTGTTGCAGTGCTGGGGGAGGCTTGCATCGCTGGAGGTGCCATCCTTTGGATGAGTCCAAGGTACTATCTGCCTATTCAAGCAGACGTTAAAGATGTCAAGGCACTATTTGAAAAGAGTAGAGATTTTCTCTCAGTGTCCTGGACAATAAACCCACTATTACAACCCATCATTCACTTTATAATTGTTTGTGGAAAATTGCTGTGCACAAACTGGCTGTTGCTTTCACCGACAAAATATACAGTCCCACCACAGTAAATGCTATGAGATGCTTTGAGACGTACTGACAATTTAATAAAGTGCTTTATCAAATGTAAGGATTATTATTATTAGAAGGAAATCTGAACTGAAAGGTGTAGAGAGAACACATAAACATACAGGGGAAACTACAAAGACAAGAATATCAGCTGTCAACAACGTTTTGATAACTAGCAAAATCATAGTTGTACAGTAGTATATTCAATGCAATATTCTATGCACTGAATTAAATCCAGTCTCCTTAATTAATATGATCACATGTTTTTCCCAACAAAGCCATATTTCAAAAAGATTTTGTAACAAAATACCCCCATAGAATCATTTGGTAAAAGTATGCCCTGTAGCAATGAGCATAAAAGCAAATCAACTGCGGCAGTTCAGTAAAAACTTGTGTAATTACCTTTAATTACTTTAATTTGAGGTGTAAAAAAATTATGCATCAAGTCATCATATCCAAGGAATTTAAAATTTGCAAGTCTGATTGGAATATATTCACAGGCCATGTGTTTTTTTGTCTATAGTAATTTTGATGTTCATGAAACATTAAACCCTTGTAATCTTGTCCATTGTTAACTGTTAATGAACTAGTAGCAATATTCACTTGCTCGCTTCTAACACCACAAATTTTCTGTTGTAATATTATTTGCAAGTGTTTGCTAATGATAACATTTTGCAATGTGTGATTCACGTAATGTTCAAGAACATCGAAGACATTAGTTGATATATGAATTGCAACCTATATTAAGCCAACAATAGATTGCACATATTAATGAAAACCTCAAGAATCAGAAAAGGACTGCAGTGCAGGACACGAATCCTGTATTTAATTTTCCACAACTTTCGTAGTTACATTTATCACCCAGCCTTTCCAGTTAGGAAACAGAGATAGCCAGCAAATACCACATTGCCCACATCAGTGAATATGTTTTGCTTCATTCCAACTATTTTCTGGGCAGTTTATCACATTCACATAACCTTTGCCAACAAATAAACAGTCGGTGCACTTTACAGTAAAACTCTGCGGTGTGCTTTGACATGGCTCAATATGATACGGTGCTAAATTAAATGGAAGGATTATTTGTAATATTTATTTTGTCTCGAAGCCTAACTTAGAAACTTGCAGCTGTGTTTGGGGATGGCTTAATGCAGGGACCTAATGCACTACAAACACACAAAATCCTTTTGGCTAATACCTTGTATCTGCTGAAAGGCATGGGAATTTAGTTGTATTGATGCTGTTCATTGCCATTGAGTGCTTCAGATTAAATTACATTTCTGATAATCTTCCAGTGATCCAACAACTTGTATTGATCTAACAAACAGTTTTGACAGTTTTGACACTGGTATCTGCAAATCTTTGGACAGAAAACAGAGCTATTTTCCTGTTCTAAGTCGCGGTACATAACGAAGCATTTCACAGAGACAATATGGAGCACTGGGCTGGGAAGATGAGAAGAATTTTGACCAAAGGCATGATCAAAGAGATATTTTTTAAGAGGGTTTTGAAGACAGGGAGAGAAGGAGCAAAGTGAAGGGATCCTGATAATGTTGGCGTTTATTGAATGAGCTAAATGACGTTCAAGAACAATTCATTTACTTATGTTATTTATTATAATCTTAAAAATTGAGATCATTATCCTAAATTACTAATAGTATTTTTAAAATTCTAACATTGAAAGGATAAAACCTTGCATTTACCTTCAGTTTTCCTTCTTATATCTATTGGGAGAGGAAAGCCTTCCAAACCAGAGGTGACGTTTGCCCCAAACTTTACACAACATTGTGCCTGAACATATTAATATTAATAATAATAATCCTTGCATTTGATATAGTGCCTTATCACATCATTGAGATGTCTCAAAGTGCTTCACAGAATATACTGTAAAATTAATTGACTGTACTTTGTAGGTGAAACGCAGCAGCCAAATGCACACAGCAGTGTCCCACAAACAGACGTGGATTGAGTGACCAAATTATAATTTTTTTTGGAGGGATTATTCAGTGGTTAGAGCACTCGCTTTGCAAGCGAGAGACCTGAGTTCAATTCCAGGCAGGGTGAAACCTTGGGCAAGTTTCCTTACTCCACACAGAGCCTAATAATAATCCATCCAAAACCAAAAACAATAATAAATTGGTCATTTTCAATCTACGACTGTTTGTGGGACATTGCTGTGCACAATTGGCTGCTGCGTTCGCCCACAAATATACAGTCAATTCACTTTACAGTGTGTTCTGTGAAGCGCTTTGGGACGTCCTCCCCACGTGAAAAGCGCTATATCAAATGCAAGGATTATTATTATTATTAACCCCAGAAAGCGATCAGCCAAGCGACTCACAGGGTTCTTACTTAATGCTAGGTAAAAGAGGAGTGTGGAATAAGGAAACTTGCCTAAGGTTTGACTCCAATCGAACCCGGGTCCTCTCGCTTGCGAGGCAAGGGCACTAACTACTATGCTACGGGACTCCAAATATTTGTTTGACCGTAGAAGCAGAGCAGCATCTCCAATGTAACTGAATAATTACCATTCCACGATCTATCATTAAAATACCTGCATTCATTCCAATCAGTCAATGTGCCACTCAAGTGCAGATTTCATTATTCCACAAAACTTTAAGGAGAATGGCACATGTCCTCTCTTCGAATTTCCACCTGGGGGAATCTGTCAACTGGAAAATGTCAACTGGATTGGGTTAGTATGTTAAACTTAGAATTATATTTCCCCATTAGAGAATCACTTTACTATGTCTCTGCTTTCATTTCATGAAAATAAATTGCCTGCCTCTCTGATCTGAAAAGATACTTTCAAATTCAGCTTCGTATATGACTCAAGCATTGCTAATCTTTAAAGTAATTAAAACCTGAGGGTTTCAAATTAAAAAAAATTCCACCATCCAATGGGATCTTAATTGCCGCTTATGTTTGTTTAACCTTCAGACTGATAGCAAGAACAGGGAAATGAATGTAATCCTAGGTCAACTCATTGATTAAACTGACAGCTCACAGTATTATAATAATAATAATATTAATAATAATAATAATGAGATGTCCCGATGGGGGCTTGAACCCACAATTCTACCAATCAATCCAGGTCGGCTCACTTAATGTTGAAACAAATACCGACAGTTGGAATTGCTCCCGAGATGTTTAAAACGCAAAACCCTTTTCTCTGGAAGAAAATCAATTTCTTGGCATTTTATATAATACACAAAACGTTTCCAGTTGGTATGTAATCGAGACCGCTCCACGAGGAAAGAGCAACTTCCATTGTATCCAGTTGCATCTGGTGTAAAACACAGAAATCAATCCTTGAGAAATCAGTGCATTTCTATACTGAATCTGAGACGCTTGGTAAAATCAAATCAATTATTATTACTGAATCTCAGTATTGTTAAAAATGAGCAGATTTCGTTTGATATAATAGGGTTTAATACTGTGATCACGAGCAAGTCTCCTTAAGAATAAAATTGATTGGGGTCTCTTACCACTAACAAGGAGTACATTAGGTGTTAGTGGGACATTGCTGTGTGCAAATTGGCTGTCACATTTGCCTATAAATACACAGTACTTTGAGTGCTTTGAGATGTCCTCCAAATGTGGAAGGCGCCATATCAAATATAAAGATTAATATTATTATCACATCTACTGCTTGAATTCTTGTCCGAGAACCAAAGAGAAGCCAAGTTCACGCAAAACCACATGAAGCACACAATACAAAGGGTTTAGATTGGGAGCTCCAGATATGGAAGCGCTCCAAGATGCTATCCCGCATGAAGGGTCCTATATAAATGCAACTTGTTGTTGTTGTTGTTGAGCCAATACTGAGAACAATCTCAATCCAGAAGGATAATTTACTTAAAATAGGAATGGAACCACAAATTAAGTTTTCCTTAATACATAATTTAAATGAATTTTACATCAAGTCTCTTTAAATAATGCCATCTGGTGGTAAATGTGTGATCAGAATCTACATGACTTGGCAAGGGACAATTTAGGAATTTGGGTTATATCTTTAATTACTGTGCTCACAGACTTGGAGGGTTATCTGAATAAGAGAGTTCTGAATTAACAACATAATGTGAAGACACTGTGATTCATCTTTACTGCAGACTGGATTGATTAATAGAATTCAATGAATTAGCAAATTATCAAAAGCACTAGAGAAAATACATAAGTGTTATTGGGTTAAGCTTAAGCCTACAGCTCCAATGGTGGAAATAAATCTTATCTAGTAAAAGCAATGGAAGATACAGCAGGTAGAACAGAGTAACTACTCATAACTAGGAAAGCAATCACTGTAAAATAAAAAACTTAACTAAAATGTGATGTGCATCAGCCTGGCTCAGTTGGTCGCACTCTCGCCTCTGAGTCAGAAGGTTATGGATTCAAGCCCACATTGAGACTGTGGGTTCACAGTTTAGGCTGACACTACAGGAGCAATATTGGGCAAGGGTTGCATACACAGAGGAACCATCCATTGGAAGAGATGTTAAACCAAAGTGCTTGCAGTATTTTCTCTAATGGTTTTGAAGATTCATAACCGCAACTTAGTTCCAGGACATGTTGCAGATGGCAGGAATATTTGCACTTTATGGATACCTTTATTTGATCGAGAATGCCAGTACGAAAATTTTGTAGAGCATTAGAATCACAAATGGTGTCTCATTAGGCTCAAATATTCAAAGGGCTTCAGGTGGATTGAAGGAGGAACCACAGAACTTGATGGATTGTGGAGGAGGAAAGAGAGTGTATGAGAGAGAGAGGCACTACCAGGTTATTGCTGGTACAACACACAGCAATGGTATCCAGTTCACAAAAGTAACAGTGGAGTATTAAAAATGTCAATAACACAATGAGGTCTTGGTACGTAAGATTGAAATATCCATTTTGTTGGAACATTTGTGCCATTTTATCTTAAAAAACCCAATGTATAAATCACCCTTTCTCTGCTATTTCTACATTTTGCAAATGCACTAAAGCAACTTGTACAGAATAATATAGAAAGACTACAGAAATGGGATTAAAAAGATGAAGAACAACCCTGAACTAAGAAAAACGGTGCAGTGAAGTTCAATGGGTCAAACGGGCCTTTCTACCCCTATTTATTTGGTCAGCTGGGTGTCTGGGAAATGCATCTCACCTACACATTGAAATTCCAGAGATATTTGTTGGGCTGGAATGTGCGAGTCTCCCTGGAGGGAAGCATCCTGCTTACCTAATTCCGGAAAGTATTAGGTGCAGTTTGGCAAAAAGCAAGGCTTGGGGACCCGAGAGAGTGCTTTGGGGGAACTGCTGGAATCTAACCTCTGACAAGCCTTCCTACTGCTTGTTCAGCTAGGACCACCCAACACGTCAGGGATTTGGCTTACAGGGTTAACAGAAGCTGAGTGGGAAGAGTCCCTGCCCCTAGTGACTGGTCTGCCCTTCAAAGTCCTGCAGATGAGCCAGTCTGGCTGTGCTGTCATCAGCAGTGCCCTGGAATACTATGGACCTGCCTGGGGAAAGAATGTTGAGGCTGTTATTATTATTATCATCTTTCCAGAAATGGCAAAACTGAACACAGTTCTCAGTAATGCGATCTCAGCTTTATACAGATTGAATCTCGCCTCCCCTGTAGTTACTACTTACCTGGATGACGGTCTTGATGGTTGATTCTTCAACGATGGTGGTA